TGAATAATTGCTCGGAATATGTCCATTTCTGTCATTCTGAATCTGACAGTCATGATAATAAAGTCTGAAACACGCTTTATTGAAATTTTAGCTGAGTCCAATTTTGAGTCCAATTTTGAGTCCAGAGAAACAAAATATGGACCGGTCCAGTCCAGACCAGTCCAGTCCAGTCCATATTTTGTACTATGCCGGCCGAAATTGACTAATGTTTAGACGTGGATAGGATAACATGTATATAAACAATATATGAATTAAAACCTGACAAACCACTATATGATTGCTCGTTAGAATTACTTGTAAATACGTATAGTGTTGACCTAAGACTTCATGTTGTCAATATTCAAATTATAATACTCACTATCAAACATTTAATGGCCGGCGAGGCTGAGCATAATGCGATCAACTATCAAGAATTATTTAGATTTTAGACCGAGGTCAATGTTATCTGCTCAAGCATTTTGTTATGTATTTAAAGACATTAAAAATGTATTAAAGCGATTGAACGACTTGAGCTAATATTACGACAATTTTCTTACTTTCACAAACAAAGATTTTATACGGCAAATTCACGACCAGCCATTTTGTTTATTTTATTTTCGCGCGCTTTCAAGTTCGAAGTGCTGGCACGAGAAGGCCTGGGTACGATGGAGTCGAGTAGTTGTTTTTCCTGGAACCCAAAACAATTATTGGACGCTGAACACGTCAGCAGTTGAAATCACGTAATAAATTGAAAATATATAGCCAGCGCTTACGGACCAATGAGGAACGAGAAATTATATTATGTAATAATTATTATATTGATTTATATATAGATATTTGTTTATATTATTCACCATTTTACTATATTTTGTGACACAATGCGTCTGGGGTGTACCTTTGGGATGAAAGAAAAAAGCTGTGGATATTTGTATAAATGTAAGTAGTTTCAAATTCAAAACGATAATCGGGCTGAAATTTTACTATTCTGTTATTTTGCTTTGATTTGTGTGTAACTGTGTAACGGAAAGCGCTTTATAAAAATCGTGTGAATAATAGCTAGCTCATATCTTTCGATTTTCTTGCTCGCGGTAATTGGATAATTCATGATCAGCGGATGGATAGTTACTATAGTTATGGTTCTAAAATCGCTTCAGAACTAGGTTCACAATAAACAGTTTTCTCCTGCATCGTACATTCCGATTAAAGTTTCGCTGTATCGTTTTGAGCGTTAATGTAATGTTTAATCGTCTAGACCATTCGGGCCGTTGCTAAAAGCACAGACATAACCACGGACGTCGACCGTTGCCGGAAGAGCTAACAGTGTTGTCAATTCGTGGGAATAAATTCCGAATGATTCCCTTTCGGCGAATTGTGAATGACTTCTTTTTGATTAGCCTAGTGCGCGGTAACCTTGAACGCGCGCGCTTCAGATAAGATAAAGCATAAACTGCGTCATGATGACGTATTCTTTTCAGTCAAGATGAAAATGTTTTTTATTTTTTAAAACCACAAGAAGTCCATAGAATCACGTGGAAACTGAAAAACGAGATTGTGTATAATCCGAATATTTTAGTCATGCAGTGAAATAATCTCTTAAGTCCGTGGAGAAATTAGTGTGATTGCGAGTGGTAGGGATTTAAGGTTAATGAACAAAAGACATTAACAATGAAGTAGAATGACAAGGAGGAATATATGTAATAGATAGAATAGATGGAATGTCTGTTTAGCTAGAGGGGTAAAACAGCAGCGTCATGATTACAAACATACAAGGATGAGTATGTATATGCAATGTTGTGCTACACCTTCGCAAAATAGTTGTCAACAAAATTGTTACAACTTGTTAAGCTCCTCTAAAAGCATTGTTGACAACCATGTTTTTGCATGGGATGTAGCACAACGTAGCTTAATCATGTTTACATCAACCGAAAGAATCTCGTGTCTTCCTTGGTTGCGCGCGATAAATAGCGACATTATCGCAAGTGCAGCCATATAGGAGATGAATACACGTTAGTTTGAGAGGAAGGCTTTTGAAGGGAAGTGCGAAAACAATAGATCAACAACCGTGGGCTTATATTCGGGTCAACTTGATCGCTGCTCCGTTATTAACATAATGATGATGTCTCTTATCTACAATGATTATTACGGGGTTTTGTTTTTCAAGCGTCGGAGGTTAAGTGGCGTACATCATTTATACTATAAATATCAGAGTGATATCTTGCATGATCTTTGCATGTGCAACTGCTTTTGGGCCCACGAGTGTAGGCCTCTCAACTTAAGCCATCTAAAGTATGTAAATGCATTTAATAAGTCTACGTATGTGTATAGAGAGCGCGTGGAACGAATGCTGCATGACAAGCCAAGCCGAAGGCCATTTCAAGGCCAGCGCATTTCAATATGCGCGCATATATTTCAAATTTGCCCTGGAGTTACTTTCATCAAAGGATATAGGTTTGGATAAATATAGCTGGCTGCAATCATTTCGTTCCCTGCAGGCGTGAAAAACGATAATTGTGATTGATTTTCCCTGCTGTTTTTGTCGGGGCAAAAATCTAACGCTTTCAACTGTAGACGCAGAGGTATCATCAGGACGGTGCGAATATGCTGTAATGTAACCAGTATGGGTTTGCTAAAGGTAATGGCGCAAAAAGATATTGATTTATAGCCATTCAAAGACAACATTACCATAGTAAAACTTACGAAGTACCAAATTCAGTTCGTTTATAGTCATATGTTGTTTGGATAAGCACTGGATTTAGCATTTCAAAGCCACAGCAATATTTCAAAACAGCAAAATTTAAGATGTGCGTGGATAGTTAAATCGAAAGCAGACAGCACCTCCCTAAACTTATAAAGCAATGAACTTTATTTACTTATAAATAACGTTCAGTTGGATTCACGTGTGCATGTAAAAGACATAACTGGAAAGAAGCCTCAATCATCTTGAGGCATTCGACTTGCACTTTGTATTATAATTAACCATCGTTTGAAGAGAAGAATTTGTCCAATTAAGTTCGACTCAAGGAAAGTTTTGACATAATCTATAACTATGATCACATCACAGCGTCAGATAGATTTCTTGATTGTTATCGAGTCAAAAAATTCTTACACAGATGACCAAAAGTGCACTAATTGCATTCGCATGGTTGAAAGTTACACCACAACTTTGCACGAGTTTCAGATTAGCTTTTAGAAAAGTCTTTAATGTTCCCACATGCCAGCGCCATGATAAAAATCTAATAGGTTTACGGCTAACAAGAAGTCCAAGTGATGATTTCAATCATATTTTTGAAGCCTCTTAAAAATGTAAGATGAATTTATCAGATCACGCATGCACAAACAACTTTGTCTCTACAATTTTGGGATGGTATTTGCGTGATTTTTAATCATGTACACCCTTAATCTGGATAACATCTTTCACTTCGATCATCTTTAATTACTTTGCCCGTTTCGTTTTAATTTGAAAACGCGAGAAAACATCTATCTGTACGCTTTGGTGTAGGTCAAATATTGAAACAAAAAACAGGTGCGCGCAGAGTTGATAATTGGATGCCACTTTCGTATTTAAGATAACTGCCAAAGGACAAGCTGAATCTCGCTGTGAATGAGCGAGCGACGAGTTTTATAACTAGGATTTTAAACGCTGCATCTTACATGTTTTATCGAATGCAAGCGCTATAAGATTCGCGGATAATTTGTAGTTAGGGAAATCTATTATAGCATTCAGTTTGTGTATCATGTTGGCTGTATAGCTACGTAGAAACAGTAGCGCAATGATAATAATTAGATCGATTCGAAATGCAATCATGCATGGATTTTAAAGATATACCACCGCCTTGCCGTTACAGTTTTGAATCATACCGCAATGTAGAATATATTTCTTCTCACAAAACAGCATTTTTTTTCTCTCGAAAGGGTGAGCTACGCGTCATTAAAGAGATGAAAAAAATTAACATTCCAGAGAGCATCGAAATATGCCATTATTGAAATGCCTGGATTACTCTTGCGTTAATGTAAGACAATGTAATTCATCGCTTTATGAATCGGTGATGTTTGCAAATATTTTAGGGCGTGTCCATGCAGAACGTTTGCTTAAAGTTGAATTTTGTAATGCTATGTTAACGAGTTCGAGTTGTATGGCATTACGATTGCATTTATAAACGGACGATGAAATAGAAATCAAGTTGATTAGCATGGTTGCTTTGTGCTATACAAATCTATACGACTCTTAAATGGCTAATAGTAATGGGGAAAAAAACGTTTCATTTTCAAGAATCAAGAAGGATAGTTTATGCAAAACAACGGTTTTATAGACGCTCTGAGTGCCAGTATTAACACAGCAAGCCTAGAAAATACGATATTTGTGAGTGTTTTCATATTGAACTGTTCGCCTTTTCTAAACTTGATGGTTTTCTCGGTCTGGCTGATTGTTCGAGCCCCTATGGCATCCCCTATACAGTTTTTCGCACACAAGGTGTTAAAGATTTCCCAATTTCACGTTTCAATTTGGAATATGGATCCAATTTGGAATATGGATCACAAGTAAAGTGTTCAAACCTCGCACTGGTCAGTCGGATTGAGAAAAGCGTAGAGGTCGAGGGTGACACACCTAAGGGGATTGGAGCACTCCTGTTTCTAACTTGCTCATGTTCCACTCCTGTTGGTAGGAGGGGGAAGACGGAATAACGGACGTCCAATTAAGTTATGTAAACGCCAAACTTAATGACCACAATACGAGCATGCCGGCGAATTGCCTTTTGGACTAACCTTGGCGTTGGAAGAAGCATTGTGGTTAGATAAACAAAGCTCCTTACTGGACTTAGGAGTCATCATTTTACCATACATCACTCACAGAACATTCCCCGTTAAAGCGTCTGGTTTGAACATTATTTCTCGAAGGAAGGATAGCAAGCAAAATACCTGCTTACGACACGCTACATACTTGTTACATAACCACCTTTTGCCTATTCTTTCTATGTTTACCGCAACAAGGTACACACAATGTAATCCCATGCGCATCTTACCTTTCTTGCACGTTTTTGATCAATTCATCGTCGTCGATGTAATCCTCCCAAGCGTGTGTCTCTGGATACATTTTGTAATAAACCTCTTTGACTTTTTGGAGAAACTCCGGCAGCTTCACCCGCTTCGCTTCGGCCGAGAACGTGCATTGAGAGAGTGGAGATTCAGGGCACCCCTTCTTGTCATTTCCAACTTCGCGATTCAACTTGGACGCGTATACGCCGACGACAATGCAGATTACACCGCCGGCCAGGAGAAGAAACCCACCGAAGAGATATGCTTTGCGATGGCTTGTCGTTCTCGACGCGTTTCCCCGACCAGATCTATCGTTTGACGACCGACCAATTTTCTCTTCAAAATCTTTGCTCATCTTCTGCTATTCGTCAGTTCTTCAAGCTGTCCCGCGTTGTTTTGTCTCGATATGTTCTGCGGTTATGCGCGTTTTTTTAACGCCAGTCAGGTGTCTGGGATTCAAGACGCAGTTACGAGGCCTGCGAGGTTTATGCTTTCGCGTGTTATTCCTTAGTTCTACTCTGTCCGATGCACGGGTGAGCGTATTTATACCTTTCGCGGTTTCTCGCCTAGCGCTCTCATCTTACGAGCTCGGCAACCTCCGGTATTAAATAGTTTCCTTATCGGCAACGCATAATTCAAATGATCCTAAACACATGTGAATCAATGTGAGTCTTATCTGTATACAGGAACCTTAAGACAGTCATCGGGCGTTGCAACGACTTAATCAACTTCCAGCAATCTTCGGAATACGTAGCTGTTACGAAGGATTCTCTGCGCAGTTTTGCACTGACGCATCAAGATTCAGCCCAGAATTCGTAGGTCATGCGAGTACGTCTTGTTTGTGTACGATCAATACCATTACTTTTCTAAAAAATAAGGGAGATAAACGCGATGTCTATATCTGCCCTGACTCACGCGATGAAACATAGGCTGCAAAATTGCCCTTTGTAATGAGGCTAATTGTCTGTTACTTACTCATTGTTCCCGGTAATACGAGGTCATAACATGGTACAAGTTGAGAACGCCCACGATATATCCATAGCTTCACCATATTGTGGCGAGTAATAGTTCAGACGTGAAAAAAACACACATAAATAATCCTCAGCTGTATGGTGAGAAAGCGTGATAGTCAATGGCGCAAATACTTCGATTGACATATTTAGAAAACACAATTCCCCAAACGTGGACAAATTATCCATTATTTGGCTATTTCTCGTTGTTTTGATTTGAGAAAGGTCTAAATGGGAAGGAAAATGCCGTTGCTTTTGAATCAGAAATATATCGTTGAACTCCATAAGTCCTTTTATTTTAAGACTCCCTAGTTTTTATGATTTGAGAAAGGTTTCACTGGGAAGGAAAATGCTCTTGCATTTTGCATCAAAATAAGATCACTGAACTTAACATTTGTTGCACAAGAGCCTTATAAATTCTGTTATGCCTTTTGAAGCTGTATTGAAATTTGTGGCCAAAGTTGCCGTATGATTAGTAAGCAACAGGATTTCATAAGAAGCACTGATATAAAATAAATATTACAGCAGGAAAACCTGTAGATAAGCTACATTTTGAAACGATTTAAAATTTTGTTGGGCCAAATTGTCGACTTGTTTTCTATGCATCCAGTATGTTTACCAAGGAGTTTTGAAAAGCTGTAAAAACCGTATAATATCACGAAGCCACATTGTTGTGGCAACTTTGGTTATTCATCGTACAATTTCAGTGAGATGAAAACCGCTATAAATCATTCCTCGAATTATCCAGGCATGAACGGCGGTTGAACACCATCCAGTTTTTCTTTTGGATCAGTGGCAAAGGCAGGTTGTACTGTACTGCATAGACGACATTTCCGAAATTCAATAACAAGATTCGCGTGGGAGCATGGTTTTTATTTAGTCAAAGAAAATATGCGAGACATTACAATATCTTGGCCATCAGTAATACCCAGTAACGAGATTACAGACATTAAGAATTACTTGTAAAATTCAGCAAAATTTCAAAATCCCCACACTTCCGCAGATGCTTTCCGTGAAAGCCTCCTAAAGCCCTAAAGTATACATCGAAGGACATAACTTTGAGATCGTAAACATTCAGTTGGAGAGCTGTCGCATACCATGAAAGACACAGACATGTCGACAAATATATAGGTATTCAGATTTTTTACTCAATCCTGATTGTCAATGATTTGGAAATTTTAGAGTTTTTAAAATCCTCAGCAAAATGCCCAGAGCCAAGAAAAGATGCCATTAAAATGTCATTAAAATATAAAGAAATTCGAATCTATATCACAGATGTCCCATGCAGCAAGTGCATCTTGTGACCTGATGCTACTTGGGCTAGAAAACACAATTCTACATTCTATAATTCTATAATCGTACAAGTATTCACCAGGATTAACGTAAGTTTTCTCGCTTAACTCGCCCACGCAGCGGGCAAACGTCCAACGGAACTATCTCGTTGTTTAGGGCCTGATAAACAGGTTTAAGGTCAAGAAATATAGAAATATAGTTTTTGCAGCTGCCTGAAATGTACAAGAGTATTTATCGTCGTTTCGACATGCATGCAAACCTCATTGCGACATGCAACCTAGCTCGCTTTATACAGGAAACGTTCAAGACCTGTGATAAACACATTTCAAGATGACCACTTATAGAAACATGGCAGCTTGTTGAAATATCTTTTTGAGAAATATAGGTTTTGCTACCGCTTAAAATATACCAGAAAATATCTCGTCGTTTCGACATCAAGAACTTTGTTTCATGCAGGATTGTTGTTAAGACTTGATAAACAAGTCCCCAAGATAATTTGTTTAAAGCTACCTGGTAGCTTAACGTCAAGTTGTAAAGCAACCAGGTTCTTCAACTGGCATAAATATACGCGAAAACGTCTCATCCTTTCGACATAAAGAACTAATTTGTTTCATGCAGGATTGTTGTTAAGACTTGATAAACACGTTCGCAAGATAATTTCTATAAGGTACCCGTAGTGGCATCTTAGTCTTAAAATGCAAATATCTTTTAAAGAAATAGGTTCTTCAATTGCCATAAAGGAATGCAAGAAAACCTATCGCCGTTTGGACGTACGAACTTTGTTTCATGCAGGACGGTCTATTCGGAATAGATATAGTTTTCCTAGAAATGTTATTATTTTCGGATAAGTGCGTCAAGGTGACACTTGGCATATAAGTTAGAGATCCAGCGATGGCATACAAAATACTATATACGTAGAAAAATATAAACATCCTTAGTTATATTTTTTCTGATAAATAAGTGTTGACTCGGTTTTTTTGCTTTCTATATTCTTTCCCACGATTGAAACGTGTTTTGACCATGCGTGACTCATCCAAACACCTGTTAGTGTTTGCCGTTTGATTCATATCATCGGTACATAATTAAGAAAAAGTCGTAAAAATTGATTACATTAATCTTATTTCGCATCGACACAGAGAAATTAAACGTTAGGCAAGCTAGTTCAGGGACAAATAGCCATGGAAATATTGTTTGGTGCATATACAGTAGCTATTTTCCTAAACAGATACTATAGCTAGTTCTCCGAAAAAAATTTCTTGTTTTTTGATAAGCCCGCCAAGTACAGACAATCTGTATTCATGTTAAATTGGTCTAGATTAACATCACTATATTGTAAGATATAATACAAACATTTTTGCAGGAGACATACATAAAACGTATGATTTAAAAAGGATGTAGATTTTGAAATTCACACTGAGAAGAAGTTGTGTCAATTGCTTGCTCGCTATAGTTTACAAGGTTAAAGAGCGTTAATGTCCTTCGAATGAAACATCATCACAACACAGTCGCTGCATGTGAAACACAAAATTCAATTAAATTAGATAAAAAAAATCAACACAGTTGACGGCCAGCGTGATACTTGCTCTTAATTTTAACGAGATATGCTAAATCAAGCTATATAGTGACGCAAGTCTTTTTCGCGCTCTATTGAACCTCGGGGTATTTAAATCGTAAAAAAGGGTAAGACACTCAACGGATAAGGGTAAATAGCTAGCTGGAATGTCCTATAATTTACAGAAAGATGTCATATTGTTTGCCATTCGGTATAATCGTCTCAGTGAACTGCACGATCGCAGGGTTTAAGCAATCATTGATACTCATTTATTCCTAGCAGTCCTATATCGTCTACAAAAGATGTCCACGTGCATGCACATGCAGAATATTTGATACATGTAGATAAATAAATAAAATGTCAGGTCGGGCATGCACACTGAAAACACGATTCAACTCAGTACGTTACAAGAGTCGCCTCATTTATAGCAATGACACAGCAAAGGTGTCTCCATGAGATAGATGAATCACTGCGTGCATGTGTGTCCCACTGATTGTTGTTGTGTGCATGTGTGTGTTTTTTTTTTCATGCAAAAGTATAATTAATTTTGGTTGACAAACTGTTGCGTTGATATTACGATAAATCATGTGATATCAAGCATGAGTGCTCGTCTGTACTTTAGACATCCATGCATGCCCACACGAAATGTTTCAAAAGAGATTACAGCTGTTTTATCGCCGATACATGTGTCCATTTCCGATATGCGATATACTTGTGATGGCAGAATCTATTGGTAAAAACAGAAATGTTTAGCAATACTGCATGCTTGTGGTAAATGCTGATAATATGCGCCGTGGTCACACTTCTCTGCTCTATAGATCTAATCTGATATGTTCTAATGAACATGTTATTTAATGGGGTCGGAAGGATTACTTTAAGTTTTAAACGAAAATATTTTTTGTCGGCAGTGATCCTATTTTTCTTTTCTGAAAGCATGTGACTCAACAAAAATGTGCAAGTCAATAGGGTTTTAGTTTCTCAGTCCCAAACTGCCTTTTTTCATCGAAGGAAATGCTGTCATGTCCTGCCTAGGGATGACTGGTATCCATTGAACGTTACAATTACGATATTATACGTAGATTTCCCTAGTAGAAAGTCCGTGAGTATATAGGAATGGTAAACAAGTCCGTCCAACTGATTTCAATCATTTACTGATCGATATCTTGATTGATTTGAGATACAATAGGTAGATTTATATTCGTCAAACGACCACAGAATCCAGTACAACTACGAGTTTTTTTTTTCATTTTCAAACTGCAGCTTCGCAATCCAATTCTCCTCAATTTCTTTTTTGATCCTTTCTTCGCATGCACAACTTTTTATCTACATGCAATTCCATCAAACCTGGGAATCTATATATGCTAAGTTTTTGGTAACGGATATTCGAGAGGAACTAGGTTCAAGGGGACTAGATTTTGTAGCCGCAAAGGAATCTAAGGCGGTTTACAATAAGGTCATATTTAAGAGCTCTTTATTTGGAAAGGGTCGGAGTGTTTGTACGCGGAACAATACATTCACGCATTTACTGCGTGCGTAGGTAGATGCATGCAATTTTCCCTTTGTTTTACAAAGACGCGATTGCGCTGAGGTTCCGCCTTCCCTGCACGACATTCCACGCCAAGTTCACGCCTTTTCAGTGAAGTGTTTATTGACAAGTATATAAGCAAATATCGCAGCCAAATGATTGTCACTTTTGGCATATCTTTATCTTCGCAGATCTCAATCATTCGCCAAGTTCTCGTTAGTGCAGGCGTTATGGTCTCGTCACTAGTCTCGTTATGAGACGGGCAAAAATGCAGCAAGAACTCGCATGCTTTTCTAATAAAACTCGGATTAATCGAGATTTAATTACGCCTTCGATTAGCGTACTATCTCTTAGAGCAGCTCGTGCAGATATGCTGTGCCTCCCACCTTCCTTTCTTTCTTGTTTACGAAAACGAAATTCCGGATCACAACTGAGTAAAGTGGAGCTATTCAAAATTATTGAGTTTCATGTGTTTCCACTTATGTCGAGGCGAATTCCTGCATGTGTTCAAGCTCAACTTCCTCGAGTAATTTTTACCCAGGCAAGTCGCATCGTGAATGAGGTAATGTGAAGATTGTTGCCTTCAAACAAGTTGAATTTCAAGTCAGGCAGTCGCTAGAACCTTGATTCGGGCGGTGGGGATGTATATTCATATTTTCATGTTCAAATAACTTTAAAAACAATCTCTATATCAAAGGACAAATCTATGAATATGCATCCTCCAAACAAGCTTCTAGCGACGGGCCGTATTGCGAATTTCCGCTAAACTTTATCAAACATTATCTCACCCCCTCCCAAGATATCATATTCATTCTGTCTTTGTCAATAATGAATGATGTCTCAGAAGTGGAAAATCAAAACTGAATCGTTATACAAGGTGGTTGTAGGAACATCCCAGACCAATTTTGTTCTAGTCCACACCCTATCAAAACATGTATCTGACCGTTGATAAATGCTTTAGAGTTTAAAAAATAACATCCCAAAACACGCAATGAGAATATTCGATGTCGACAACACTTAGAACTCTGAAGTGAGTTCCCTTGTAATTAATTGTCAATAATCCAGATAGCACGTTCAGGATTATACTTTCACACGCCAAAATTTGTCACCTCATTTCGCGATGCTGGATGCACGATAGTTCTGATATTTCAAAACCACGCATCAAGCCAATATTCCCTTTGACGATTTTGCCATTCATTTGAAGACATTGATCGTTGATGCCAGTAACGTTTAGGCCTTAGCGAATCATCTTGCCCCGACAAATTCAAGATTATATACGTACTTATTCTTGAGATGAAGTGTTCCTCTACACTGAATACATGTTCTCTATGGATTAACGTCAAAAAGTGTTGAACTTTTATTGTAATTCCACAGATTTATATATGGATAGCTAAGAATTAGGGATTTCGGATTATACTTCTCATGTGATTAATTCTTGCAAGCATTTGAGGCTTTCGATGCATGGAAAAAAATGGTATAGTTCTATACGTTGGCCTGCCCTTAAATGTACACATGCAGTGCAGTCGAATATAGATTCTCTTTTTGAGGTCTTTTTTTTCCAATCGCTTGCTCGTTCGTTCGCATGGTGAAGTAAACAGTTCCACTATTATTATCTTAATCCGGAAATATTTGATAAGGCAATGGACTGAAGCTAACAGTGATAAAAAAGTAGTCTAGAAAAAACACAATGACGTTGTAAGCTATATGTGGTTTCGGGTGTGGTTCTTTACCGAAAAAGTCAAAGGATGCGATTAAGCGTGGAAAAAGACATTTGGCATTCGCTCAATTTCTGCCAGTTATCGAAATCTCTAGCTTCCATTAGCAATCGATTCTTGTAATCGTTCAACAACGGCTGTCTCCACTATATTTAGTGAAGCACTTAAAACAATTTTGCAGATTCATAGTATATCTTTACGCTATGCATATCAAGACGAATACAGACAAATATACAGTTTTGTCACCATGGCTACTACTTCTGTCACGATTTCCAGGTTGTGGAAATGCTTTTTTTTTCCACACTGGAGGAGACAGATTGATACTGTAGCTAATTCAAATCTAACACGCCTCAACCAGATGCTAGAAGTACTAGATGCAGAGAGCGATGGCTGTCTCGTCACTTGCAGACATTTGATAAGAACTCAAACAGGTTTACATCAATCAGTGCATGCGATCGTTATATTAATGAAATTTACATGTAGATGTTCCAGTCGACATAATTGAGCAAGATGCTTATATGGTAATTTAGATAATGTATTTGCAGACATTGAATCACGCTGCATTTAAAAGCAAATATATATCTTACCCTCAAGAAAATATACCTTTACAATATAAACCACATACGTTTGACATAGCAAGCATATAGCGTCTTTTACTCTCGTGTTTAACTTCAATCTACAATAAATTATGAGACGATAGGAGTTGGAGAGTTTTATTGCGTAATAAATAAATTTGTATCCTTGTACTGTACTTAATAAAAAACTGGTATAAATGGTAAAGTAAGTCACAAAATGAAGTCACAAATAGGACACCAGGCGCACATGTGTTTCTCGCTCAATTATACATATATAAATTTATAGAGAGGTTAAGATACCCTGGTTTCAATATACGGGTACGGGTAGCCATATTTTGTTCATTGGAATTTCTTGTTGTTTGCACGTTTCAAGATACAAATAATGCTTACCTCAAGAGGCTAAAGCCTACTAGAAAAGAATTGTCGAGTTAATCATCGAAAAAATTGAGAAACACTGATGGAAATTCATTGAACAAAATAAGGCTACCCGTACCCCTACACCGGAACCGGGGTATCTTAACTTCTCTATTTTGCGTAATTATTGTTCGTTGATAGGCCAGGATCCTGTATAAAAGATCCTGAATTGCATGTGTCTATAAAAGATGAAACAAATCAGATATCTATAGTAGAATGCCTTGATATTAATCAATCAAAAATATTTCAAAACCATGCAGATAAAACCTGATTGACACTACTGCCTGCCAGTTGCCTGCGGCCCATAAACAGCAGGACCGATTAGGCAGTATATAAAGAAAAGCGTCCATAGATTGTAATGAAAATAAAGTCAAAATAACGATGGTCTTGCAAGCTATGTCTCCATCAACATTTCGATAACAAACGTGTAAATCTCTTCATCCTCTATACATTGGGTGTTTTCAGCGTCGAAAAATGCGAAGTAAATTACGAGGGTCACACTTAACCATGCATATTCCTAATTTGTTTAATTGGAAACACTATTTATCATAGCGATAATGATTATGAATTTGCTCTCGATGTAAATGCCACGTTCTCAGGCATATAAAAGCTATCCATTTTTCATCAATTTAATGTGTTCTGATTTTAGTTTCATATCTCGAAATTAGAAAGATATTATATACTCTACTTTATATCTGAATCCAGATCTAATTGTATTACCATATATGCAGCGATGGCGAGGAAATATTTCAAATCCTTTTAAATCTCGCAGATTACTGCTGCAGATGTTAAAATAATGTGTTGCATGCAGTGCAACTAAAGTTTGGCGATGAAGGTTCATTAGCGCGTATATAGTCATGCTTCGCTTTATTACTGTGCTAGCATCTTCTTCGGGACACGGGAAAAATATTTGCTGTTTCAACAGCATTGGTTCGTAAAAAACACAGTGACAATTTGATTGCCTCTTAGACTTAGGCGAAACAGATAGTTTGTTCACCGCCGATGTTGCTATTTAAATCTATATGTGTGAGTGTGACAATTTAAAAAAAAAGTTTGACGAAGGCAGTTCATAATAAAATCATGCTCCTACAATTAAAACGTTTCCTCTATGCCGCGATTAGAAGGAGCCAAAATTTTCACAGGAAACAGGCGAAATGGTAGATTGGCGTAGATTGAAAGATAATAATACCACAGCGAGGGAATTCTGTCATATTTTGCATGGGTGTGGGATTCCTAACCTTCGTTAGCAACAATCCAAGGTCGCGTATTTTAAATTGCTTCGGAATATTAGCTATAAGCTCAGTCAGTATATGAAGGTTTTTTGAGATCTTAGGCTAAGAACCAGTAGAGAAACTCTTAAAAGAAAAAAAATGAAATAATTTCACTTCCCGAGGAACAACCGCAAGACTGAAAGGTATTCGAACTACTTGTTCATTTCCCCATTGGTTTATGCCATTCGTAAATGCACGTTCGTGCTTCAGAAATGTTTAGAGCTTAGCGTTTCATCCGTTGCAACTCAGTGAAGTTTCCTACAGAGTTTTAGGCTGGGCCGGTTGTATCAAGCCCGTTTAGCTTAAACGGTGGATAAGTGGGTGGTTTTATTGCTGTGGTTACGCCTTTATAAGGAAGCAAGTGCCTCTGAGAAGCGCAGATCTTAAAAAAAAAGGCTCTTCTAATATACTAGTAGGTGGTGATTCGAAATATTCGTGCATCGCTATAAAATAAAAACTTGAATGGCGGCGAGCTTTGCTTGAAAAATACAGGAAGGAAGCCGTAATCGACTTCCCATTCAAATATCGCGAAACGATAACTCAGTGGGGCAAATATATTTCAAACAGCAAAAGTTGGTTAACTGTTAGCCGGCTTAATATCAAGAACTTGCTATGGCCATTCGATGGGATTAATGAAGGTTAAATAGTGGTGATTTCGTGACACGAACGGCCCTTTGCCCCCCCCCCTCCAGGGAATTCACTATTTAACCCTCTGTATATTAACATTGGAAGAAGGGAAATGGCAAAAACCTTATTCTTTCCTAGCTGATATTGAAAGAACGCGTTTGATACAGCTACAAAGTCCATTCAAAGATTTTTATTATTTTCTTTACTTTTTAAGTTATTAAAAACAAAATCTTCAAGTATTCTGATCTAATCACGCAACAACGTAAAATACAGACAATCTAGAAGCTTTTAACTGATATTTTGGCGTCTAAAAGAGATTTTCACGATTGTCCACACTGTCCTGACGTCATATTTGTATCTAATTGTGTAAAGATAACAGTTTGAGGTGTTTTGGTTCCAAATATCTAAGAAAAATATCATTAATGGTTCGGCTTCGCCATGCAAAATTAAAGGATTAATTTTTATTGCTATTTAATCCCTTAGTATATTTTTAAATACATTTTAACGTTTGACTTCGTAAATAATATTTATATCTCAGTATTCGTAATAATTTATACATAGAAATCTCATTAAGACAAATATTCACAGTGTCATTTACTTTTTCTACACTTTGCCAGGCGAATTAGGTTTAGAAACTGAACCTAGGCTAGATTGTGGGACGATATACGTATTGGTATTTACTTGTTAAAGGATTTTAGCATTGAATGAGAGACTGGGATGGGTAGGAAGATATAAATGCTAAATTCTAAAATTTGCCTAACTCTAAACGTGTATACCAAAACGATAAAGCATACTGTTGAGTGTACGAAGTGTACTGAAATGTTTATAGCAGTATATATTATTTATTGTGTGTCTCTTTAAGACCCTGTTTACATGCACTATACCGGATTCGCATGGTGACGATATCAAAACTAGCCGTGTCAAAGGGTGTTTTACTCCTAAAATTATGATAGCATGATTGCTTTAGCAAGATGAAAAGTTCTGAGGACAGAGATATCGTAAAACAACTTAAACTGATGTCGTGACCATATTAATCCGGTGTAGTGTAAACAGGGTCTAAAAGACTAGGCATCATGAACTTAATTTTAACATTATAAATTAGGACTTACATTGGAAAGAGATGATTTGGATCTTAGTACGACATAGAGAAAAGCGATGTTACATTTGTTAAATTGTTGGCTGTAAAGCTTCGGCAAGTATTTCTGTTCCTTTACGACCTTTTGCGATCCAGTTCACAAAACGCAAACGATGGCGGTTAGTTTGAGCCTGTTCCCAACATTGCTTCGCCCAGGTTGAAACTGACGATAATTTGGCGTATTTACACTTGGGGCCGGGGATCCACGTCGACGAACACAGATGAGTTTATACCTAATGTATTCAGGGCCTCATGATTGCCGTTGCTTTAATCGAGCTGAGAATCTGCCGGGAGATTAACACGTTCACGCTTCTGAGGCCGACTTGCGTTGTATCGGTGACATTCGGTACTCCAACAGACCCATCCTTTCGCTGTTCTCGTTGGAACTCTTAAATCGTCCCCTACTATTTGGTACGGTCAGTACAGTACCATTTGTCTTCTTTTGTTGTTGTGCTACCGTTCCAGAATCTTTGGGATTCTCTTGTGCTATGGCGGATTGTGCATACGTCATCAATAAGCTTCTGTTATCCGATTTCGATGGGTTTGAGGTTTGGGGAGGGCACGAACAATGGTCACCAGTGCAGTTCCTAACGCATTCTGGTATCGAACTTTCGCCCTGTTTGTTAACTTCGGCCATAAGACTTTGGCAGGATTTTAAAGCGCCTTGGATCTCGCGGGTTTGGTAAGAGCCAGTCGCCTGTCGCTGCTGATGAAGAAGCGATTCTAACACTGCCAATCTATAGTGAGTGACAAAATGGAAGATTGTAATGATTTAGAGGTGTTGATTCCCTAGGGGGAAAATGTTGTATTTGACTTCAAGTGTAGAATGCCATTACGTTTTGTTAGGCCTGTGTGCTATATCATAGTTTGTTCAAGAACTCTTCTGCATGTTACATTTTTATTCCACTAGGATTCCCATGTTCCGATCTCTTTTAACTATAATAGAATTAGTATAGCGATCCTGAAGGGCTTTAAAACTAAATTGTTGGTCTTTGTGAAGAGTTTACACGTGTGAAAATGCCTATACGTTTGTTGAAAAGTGATTTCAACGTCTTGGGTCTGTCAATGAATAGATCGATCGCGGCAAACTTCTTACAGTTATCGATCGGAATGGGGCAAATTTGTTTTAACGAAAATAACACTTCACAAATGACGTTCGAAACTTGTTTTTATCACTGAAATGTCTTTGAAGTGTTTTTAAAAATGAAATTATAATCTTCGAGAGTCTTCGAGCTTCGCTACTTCGAGACTATGATCTCTGGTACTTCATGATCAACGATAAATGATAGGATGGCAGACAGAAGCCTCTCTGGATGTTTGAATTTGGCACTTTGCTGTTAAAAAAACTAATCTGCGATGAATCATGAATGGCAATGAACGTTCTCTATTATTTCTTATCATTCCATTTACCTTTCTATCAATGCTTTCATCTCCAGCTCCATTTCTTCTTCTCTTTCCAGTTTCCTCGGTGCAGTTGAATGGGAAAATTGATCTGGCGGTAAAGAGTATCGCCATGACCTTCTGTCTGAATCAAATCTTCTGGGATCCGTTGAACTCCTTGGTCTGTAGGTTCCTCTTGGAATCGTACCGTCGTATCGCACACAATCTAAAGCTCTGCTAAAAATGGACGAATGTTATTTTCACTGTTTTTTTTTAGTATTCTGATCTAGTATTTTTGACTGATTTCCAAAATACATAGGCTAGATTGTAAATATCAGTTACTGCTCTTTTTTATTTTTATTTTTTTTGGTAAAAATGGCATTTGAACATTAAAGCCCAATTGCAATTATTCGATTGCTCAAAATTGTATCAAACTCCTAGTTTTTCTTTCTGAATACCATAGAACTACATACATTCCAAACGTTTTTATGGTTTCAATGTTAAATATAAAATGACAGAACGGAAAGAAATGGTAGAACACTTGGTAACATTTTTGTTTAAAACCAGTCGGGAAGAATGGAGACGTTTAGCTCAGTGGCTGATCTAGGGGTAGTCAGAATAAATCACTACAGCTAAATTTTAAATTCAAAACACCTCAATAACAACGTTATTGGTTATGGATTTCAAAAGAATATTTTTGAATAAAAATCCACCAATGCGATTACGATTTTCAGCTGTAGTAATTTATTCTGACTACCCCTAGATCCGCCACTTGTTTAGCTGTAAATATAATGTTAAGTCTTACCTCGAATTATTGGCTTCGTTGGGCAATAGACCTTGAGATCTTCCTGCAGCTTGGTCCCCATTAAGACTTGAAATGCTATGACTTGGCAATGTTGGCCGCTTCCTGTTCTCCGACGGTTTCAATAGGATGATGTACACCTTGGGAACAAAGAGACACACGAGAAGAATGGTAGCAATTAGGGATATGCTGAGGCATCGGATACACGCCTTCAGCATGGCGTCAGTCTGAACTAGATACACCGTGATGAATGCCAGCCATAGTACGCATGTGCAGTACATTGCAAACGCGATGTACTTAGCTTCGTTGAAGTTCATCGGGCTACGGCGTGTCTTGAACGCGTAGTATGTGCATATTATGATCAAGACGAAGTTATAAATTTGGGAAAGAAGAAAATCCTTATCAGAGATTGCGCATATGAGTACTACGTCCGATTCTGATAGATAAAGTAGTTTTTCTCGCGGTAACTGAAGGAGACAAAACGCTGTGAGAAGCATCACTTGAACGGCGACCAATACGAACGAGAAGCATATTTGAGACTGTGGATGTATGAACTGCGGACGTTTAGTCAAATTTCGACGGTTGAAAATTCTCGATATCCGATTGGTCTTCACAATCACTGCTGCATAGCATATTGTGAACGGTAGGCTGTCCAGAAGGAACTCAACCAGGCATACATAGGGCGATGGTTTCAAAAGACAGACGACCAACATGGCGTAACAGAAGAATAAACCGGTTAGTAACAAGTATGATAACTCGCGACCGGATGCTTTGACCAGAGGCGTTTGGTTGAATTTGGCGAAGATTACCGCCACACAAATGACGGAAATAAAACCGAGGATGGATACCACGAGAGGGGGAAGAACCAGGTGTAGACCCACGTAATCTGTATTTAACGTGAAGTATCGTGGTGGTATCTGGACGCACTGCTGCTTGCCGGTGTCCGGCCAAAAACCGCGGGCGCATGTCTTGCAATGCGTTTGATTGAAAGCAAGCTGGTTTCCAGTGCACGCCGCGCACTTCCAACAGCACGATGGCTTTCCCGTGATGCCTTGCTTCACCTCGTGACCTTCACATGGCATGCCACAAAAGGACTCCCTATGTCCCAAATCATCCTTGGTGATACGGTACATCGTGAGGTTGTCTATCCATTGACCAATACGCACATTCTCGTATCGGTTGTTCACAGTGCGGTTAAAGTAATACACATCGTACCTGGAGTGCACGTCGCCATTTTCATCGAAGAAGATCGTGTTTCCATCGATGCTCTCAAATGTGATATTCTTCAGAACATTCAGTAAATTTTCTCCCGAAATCTCTTTCATCGCATCGCAAAATATGCGAGGACTGCCGCACATCGATGTGCGAATTTTCCGAAGGGCGTACGCGTACGCATAAACTGCGTCAATGGTGCGCGTCACACCGTAATCAATAGTGAGATTCGCAGAGCGCAGTGTGTGCTTTGACCCACAGCCAGGGTAGCTGTCTGAGCCACGGTGTGATAGTAGATTGCATTTCAAGGTGTCGACAAAGTATTCTTTAAACCACGGATTGACGTCATTCGAACTTGGTATTTGCTGCAGCAAATGTTCTCGGAATGCTTCAACCGGGTTGGACATCGGTTGGACGGAGATGAGGCCATTGGCAAGCGATTGGAATTCACCTAACCAGCTTACAGTTATCCATGAATCCGAGCCGATCCATTGAAATTGATCTATCGCGTTCCTGGATTTGGCTGCTCTCAGAAGTGATTTGATCGTTTCCTTCTTGCTACAGAATACCACAACTACACGTGCATGTGTTTCTGCAAGCAGTTCATTTATAATCTTTTCCATTTTTTCATCGTCTTCAGGCTGTGAGATCTTTCCTCGTACTGCGATGCAAATATCTGAAATAAAATGAAATGAAAACTGAAAATCATGCTTGGTACACTTGTAGCTCAATAATGAGTCACTCGATAATGAGTCACCTGAATAGGAGGGGCCACTTCCTCCCTTTCCTTTTACCAGCAGGGGAAAGGGTGGCCAAGATGCCCTTTCATTTTAAAGGATTGCATTCTATATCTTAAGTAGAAGTGCTACTACGATCGATTAAGTTCAACATACGAACTTCAACAGGCGATGAATAGCACAGATTATGCGCCGCTACAGAAGTGTCCTATCACTAAAATCTGCCCCTCTCTGCCCTTGTGTCCTTCCGACGTCCCTGACTCAAAGGAAGTCCAGATTACCCTAGCTGCCTTAATATGGATGCATTGGGATGAGTTGCCTAAAGATCTTGTTTCGTGTGATCGAAATCGTTTGAAAAAAGTGAAGCAGTCGTATTGTTTTGAGAGCATAATTACTAACTGTCAAATACCTTTCTTCTCCATCTCTTTACTCAGCCCCTCAATCCCGTTACGTCCATAGCTATCATCGCTGTACACAACTGACACGTAACTCCATCCGAAGTACTTGAGTATGTCGACGATCGCCCGCGCTTGGAGAAGGTCAGACGGAACAGTTCTGAGAAAATACTCGTATTTTGTGTTATCGCTGAGCTCAGAGCTCGTCGAGTCGTAACTGATCTGAGGCATTTTAAAGAGGCGCAGCAAATGTGCTACCTGGACAGATACGGAACTATACAACGGTCCGACGACTCCAACAACTTGTCGGCCGCCGACAGCGCCATTTTCGTCGTCATCACATCTTTGATCTGTGATGAATTCTTCCACTGTTCGATCTAGAGCCGTCGTCTCGCTGGAGCAAGTGTCGAACGCACTCAAACCAAGGTTTATCCCCGGCAATATTTTCCCCTCTGTGTTTATACGTTTTATGGCGTAAATCATAGCCTCGAGTCTCTGTATGCCCAGTACGCCATTGATGCTGCTACACTTGCCGTTCCTGTCGTCTGAATGTATCGGGAACAGACCTCCGAGGGTAATATTCCCCCCGATACGAACTGCCCGGTGTTTTCCGTAGGTTAACAACACAGTTGGAGCGAAATAGATCAAACTGAGGATGATAGCACGGAGGTAATGCAATTCATGTTTTCTCATAATTGCCTGTCAAAAAAAAAGACAATATGTAATTAGTGAAAATAGTAATGAAACAAGAGAACTACGCTTCTGAAAATATGAATAATAAGATGAATGCATAGAAGACAGCTTTTCAATTCAAGTTTTCCTCTTAACCATCATAAAGGGATACCAGATACTATAGTAACTGTTGGTTTAAGTGTTGGTTCCAGAACACCCGTTCTCCATTGACTGAGTTGAGAAGAGTAGAAATTGAAACGTTTCCAAACAAGTTCTGCATGGCGATTGTGCATTTCACCAGAATGCATGCATGCAGTCAGTGATTGTTTCAAGAAGGAACCGACGTTCTTCAAAGGGAAGACCTGATAAGAACTTACAATGAAAACAAAATGGCGGATATTATACCAGCAGCAACCCCTTGGCTTTATTTACTGATTTCGTCTGGCAACTGTATATGATTCTCTTGCTTTAAACCTCGTTCTTAGAATAATACAACTATCGCAATATTATGGTGATTAAAAACAGCTATCGGCAACACGGGTGCTCTTAATCTCGTTTAGATTATCCACGGGATCTGAAATTTTCGATTTCCCAAGCCGAAACGGCAAAATTTTAACCGTCTTACTATAGCAGACTATATAAAAGCGCTTCCACATCGATCGTCTTATAACTATATTTCTCACGTTTCTGTTACAATAACATCGCAAAATCTCAAGTCATTGTTAATAACAATTGCGTTTTGTGTGGATAACATCTATCTGATTCCTTAAGATCTTACCGTCCTCTTAAAACACAGCAGGAAAACAAAAATATCGCAATTTAAATATCGTCAGCGCCATAGGGAACACACAAGTGATCGATTTCCGAATCTGGATTCTTGCGAAAGGTTGTATGGCTGTGGATCATGCTTTATAAGGGCTGCTGTGGAACGCACGTAGCTGAGTTTTTTGCACGTATACGTACACGCACGTAAAGGTCGTTATACATGTCATATTTGAAAAAGTCAGGTGAATAAATCGTAAGAACTTAGCTTTCCGCATATTTTAGTAGGCAGTTGTTGACCCATGGCTACACCGGCGATTTTTGACGTCGATCTTCTTCTGGTGTATGGTATTAAGTCAATTTAACAGAGTAGGTTACTTTACTTCGTCAAGCTGATACAATTATGTACATAATTCACACAATAACATTCGCTAAAAAGAGAAAATCGTGGACAAAGATCGCCCGTGTAGCCGCGGCTTTAAGCATTTAAAATTTTCCGCGCGTAAAAAAACGCGAGAGTGGAAAGCAGCCTTAAGAATGATTTTCAGTGGCAAAAACGAAAGATTTATACCTAATACCTTATCATGCAGCGTCTTTCTTTCACTTCCAAAACTCATACATCGAGTGTTCAAAAACACCGTGTAGCAAGTGGCCGCACAACCGAGAATGATTTGGTGTTTGAAGAGTCAACTCTTTGTAGGGAATCTTATTTTAAACTGAACTGAAAATGCAAGATTGAAGACAGTGGTTTAATCATGTTCCCGGATGATATTAACTAGTGTAGAAAACAAGAAGGAAATTAGTCTTGCTGTTTCGCTTCGGCAATAAAGTCTTGCAGTTTCGGTCCGGAACCGATGTTTTTGAAGGCCCGTTCACGATTTACTTCTTTTGATTGATGCGAACGAACGAACAGTTACGAATACTGCGTTTTATAAGTGCCCTAATTTGACGATCAGTAACTTATCCACTCGTTCACATGTACCAAAAAAGAAAATCGCATTAAAATCCAGCAAAGTTTGTAAGTGTATTTCAGCCTTAAACTAAAATTTCCGTTCTGAAGGCCGGCGTAGCCCATTTTGCTTTAGAAATTAAATTTCCCAAATTTTGCTCTCTCGGATCCGATAGCTTATAGAGTTTTTTACGAAGTTGACGGGCTGCCCTGCACGCGTTGCAGATATGCATTGTAAACATGACTAGATAAATTTCTAAGTGAGCTATATAAATGAATGAACTTTGGTCCGGTTTCACACATTAGCCGAGCTCAACGCGTGAATTTCTGAAAGATTGATTTCAATACTAAGACTTTTAAACAGGAACAATTTTTTTATCAGTCCTCTCCCATTTTTATCACTAATTTTTTCTTTGTTTACAAAGGAAATTTGTCATTTTTAAAATTCGTAAAAAACTATCTGCAATGACGTGATGAAAAACTGCACATCTGCAGCGTACCTGCTGCTGCGTCACTAGAGTGCCGAAAAGACAGCGTTCAAACTATGCTATTATTTGTTTTTATCGTTCGGTTTTTCATAAACATGCAAATCAGTCGAAAATATCATATCGCCATTTTTAGGTGCTAAATTAATTAATTTCCAAGAATACACTGGATTTCGGGCAAATTCGTTACTCTTGCCTAGGTCTTGTTCGTGCGCATGCGTCAAGAATGGAAGGTTGACGTCATATCTAGAAAGACCGTATAGTTCATGTTGTGTATTTGGCGCTAGGGAAACTAGTTACCACGAGATATCCGTAATCACAACGTCACGTCACAAACCTAGATCGTTGACAAAATTTTAGTAACCATGAATCGAAGTGTTTCGTATCGTATGAACCTTTTGGTTCAAACAGTACTGAGCTGAATTTCATCATATATTCGTATCTTAGAATGCCGGAAATTATTCATTATTATTGCGTGATAGCCTTTGTAAACATAGGTGTTCATTATTTGTACAAGTATATTGCTTTTCATGCCTCAAACGTCAAGTCAGTGCGTTTGAAATTTCATGAAATGGATACTAGGCGATTTAACCAAGTTCTACTTTTTATTAGTAATGCTAAGATCTAGATCTGGCAAAACTTTCTACAAACATTGTGATTTACAAGTTATACTTTTGAGATAACTGGTGATCAATTTACAATATCTAAAGTTTCGCAATGCCAATTTTCCCATTCAAAGTACTTCTAGTTCATATATTCACCTAGCTCATTCATTATTTGTTCAATTATATTGCTTTGCATGACTCAAATATCAAGTCAGTGTGTGTGAAATTAGCGATTTAACCAAGTTCTGCTTTTCAGCAGTGCTAAAATCTAGTTCTGGCAAAACTTTAACATGGAAGTTCTGCTTTTTAGCAACGCTAAGAACTAGTTCTGGCAAAACTTCCTACAAACATTTCGACAAGTTATACTTTTGAGATAACTGATGATCAATGCATGTATAATACATAATATATTGTATACAATATCTAAAGTTTCTTCAGTAATGCCTTCTTAGCAATTTTCCCATTCTAAGTACTTCAATAGTATATATTCACCTTATTGATTTCCTTTCATGAAAACTTAGCGATGCATTTATTCAATAACAATGGGCGTGGTGTTACATCCGCCATACGGAAATGTTAAACGCAATATTTCATCATACGTTTTCAGTTTGCCTGCGTTTTCAATTGAGCAGATGTTGTCCATATACAAAACGAGATCTCTATAAGATTAGATTAGATCTAGCCTATTAGAGCCTCGACAAAAGCTTTGCAGCAAACAAGTAAATTTTCTTTCAAATCTTGCATCTTATCGCTGTGTTTGCTTAGTTTGTTCCGTTTTCTTGAATCATGTCTTTCCCAAATCGTCTTGTATGGCCGTCATTATCCCACATCTATTATATAATTAATATCGCAAGGTGTTCGTAGGTGGGATTAGCGAAATATGTTTAAAATCCTTGTGGTTTGTTCTTCCCAATTGTTTGGGTTTCTCGCGCGGACGAGTAAATGTGGCTTCTTCGTTCCGTGTTTGTTGATTAATTGATTAAAATAAAGTTCGCTTTTATCAGTTGTCCTTGACCACAGAATTGACGAATATATTGTTTTCATACATGTATGCTACGTAGGATTGTATATACTCCTAACTCCTACCATTTGTAAACACATTTTTCGGTTGTCATACATCATACGAAAAATGCACGCATATTTTCAATTTGTTTACTCTGCATAATGTGCACGCGAAGTTTTATTTCCATGAAGGCATCAGTTTGCCCCTATATACCCACAGTCATTGAAATGACAAAGTTATAATTTATAAAAATTTGCCCATGCTGCGAGTAAGTTTCATGTTTCTACTTACGTCTACCTCTCATTCAACGGCTCTTTCGTGCTTTCGTTTTACTTGATCAGTTATTTTAAAGACTCGTATAGGTTTCGTGTTTAGCGCAATTTTGTGCACAATTCAGAGCTAACGACAGCTTACGGGCAGGCTACAGTGGAACATGCGTGAGGCGTCCATCGCTCATGTACTACTCTGCGATTCTTTCGTTCTATTAACGCATCAATATAAGATCAACCGTGCTTGCTAGCTTTGCATTCCCGCAGGGCAAGTGAATTCTCATATTATATTTGAGAATATACGTATTAAGAAACGTTTATGTACTATATATTCTGTGTGATTGCAATAAAAACCATGCAGGCTTGCTTGCTGAAGCTCTGGTGAATGTACATCACGTTCGTTGCAAAGGAAATGTCTAAAAAGTGTATCTATATATATATATATAATATATACCTATATAAACAGCTCTGAACTTTTCCCCAATGATTGAGACATCAGACGTGAATATAGGAAGTATGGCACAGAGCATATAGCCATATAATCGATCGCTATCCTTAAAACGTCTTGTTTATCGTGTATACAGAATATACATGTATATTTTTACATTCATGGGAATATATCCACGATATTTATTCTTGGACCTTATAGTAATATCCGTTTTAAAATTATAATTGATTTTTATGTATGCGTGACTACATAAAAAAGATGACATATTGCATGTATATGCATGCGTATAAAGCTTGTAGCACAATGCTGAGACTCCAACTGGGAAAATTTATAATGTTGTCACCATTGACTTAAAAATTTAAGGATAATAGGACCAAAGTAATTTAAACACGTCATATATGGTCGAAAAATATTACCATCGACTTATTGCCGTATCCATATTCAAACAGAGAGAATTCAAAGAGGCATTGAATAAAGCGCTTCATGTACACAGATTATAGTATACACACACTAGGTCCGGAAATTAACCGGCAGAATGTACCTAGCAATGTTAAGTGCTTAATATGGGAGCATAAATCGTGTGAATAGTTTAGAAATGCTTGCTAGAGGGATCAACTGTAAAAGCATTGCTTATAACGAGCTAAATAAGCTGTTTGAGTTTATTCATCTTGAGCGCGTTTCAAAGTTAAACAAGCATATTTCGCTCTGCCTCTGGGTCAAATGTATAACAAATAACCCATAAACACCATTTATGTCAACGTTGAAAAAACTTTCGCACGTATAATGCTGCTTACATCAAACGCGGAAGCTCTTTGCCGCAACGAGATTTTATGTTGAAAGGACAACAACAATTACTTTGAAAGAGGTTATAATTCTCCTTTACAACAACTTCTAGAGGTGCCCGTCAAATATGCTTTGTTCGTCTGGTGTCGAGAAAACTTTGTGTAACGTAACACCAAGTTTTGAGTATATTCATCGAGTACGAAGACAACTATTCACATCATATAGAAACAATTTATAATTGTAGCAGATGATTTCACAGCTAAACAATACAATTTGTATAGAACTTACTTGTGCTTTATGAAAGCCTTTGGAATCTTGTTTTGCGGTAAATACAAATCAAAGATCATACAATTCGTACTCCAGTTGAGCTTTGGCCCAAAACGTGACACGGATTATAATTAGAAGCAATATAGCAAGACTGATGATTTGATAGTTGACAGGCCAGGGAATCAGTCCCGTGGTATAGCATATCGTACACGAATCTCCCCCTTCGCCTCGGCTCCTCGAATCTAAACACACAAAACAGTTTATAGTTTTTTATTAATGCAACGTATTGTGGTTTTATTGTTCGCTCGCAAGCAGGTGTCCCTGCGCTGAACACTGGGATCAGATGTTCGAGAGCTTTGTTATTCAAATAGCCTCAATATACTATAATATAAATACGAGATAATATTGAGTATCGCTCTACAAGGCATTCGGCTTTCGCAATGTAAATGACTGTTTTCAAGGGGTTCTTGATTAGGTGATGAACCATGACTAAAGTTGACCTTAAGATCTTGAGTTTGACACAAACATTTCCTCTCGTTATAGATACATATTCGTGTCCATTTGCAACATGTGGTTAAACGTTTGCCGTGATGAATACATTTTTGTGCTCGTTCGTTGGCAACAATAGTAACGGGATATCTACTGTTACTTGTTATCATTTCAAGTTTCGTCTTTATATCCTACCTGTGCGAAGATTACGCCATAGTGTAAAATCCAATACTGAAGGTGAATTACAATCAAATGTTCGTTTCGCTGTCACAATTAAAGATCAAATTTCATTGAATGAAATATCGGTGGCCTTTCATAACTTGTAATAAGCACCACGCATACATCAACACGTGTTATGCAAACGTTTATTATTTTATGACATACACAGTGATATACTGCATGGGTTATTAAATATCGTGGCGTATATGCTACTAAAGAAAGAATTTTATAAGATTCTGCACCTGTCTTGATTGTCAGAATATTTCCGTCGTGTCGCTTTGAAAGAAGCACGAATGCAACTTTTAAAAAGTTATTTTTAATTTTTTCAAAAGATATTCCAGACTGTTGTTATTTTTGAAATAATCTTATTTTTCAATAATATATGTTCCGTCAAAGTATACACACTACAATCTCGGTAGAGAATATGCCTGTCTGGCGCATGTATATGTGTATTTCTTCCTGATTGTTCGGGATCTTGTTGAGTATACATTGACAATAAGCTCTGTGACTTGTATTCAAATTGTGATTACCGATTGTGACTAAAAGGCTCGTAATTAAAGAGTCTGTTTACCCGAGATCAAACAATGCATGACATGATTTTGAAACTCTTTAATAACTGTCTGGTTTCTGTTGAAAACAGTCTGCATGTAGAACCAGACAGAAATGAAGTGCTAAGCCACTAGTTTTAATATATTGACTGATACAGTGATGTGAAAAATATTCAACAAGTTAAACCAACTATATCTTTAGCTCATTTGTTGAGTTGACTGGATTTGGCAGGTTATATCCCTACGACTTTATAACTTATTTTAAGATATGAGTTTTCATATGCATATAAATATATATTTTGCACTCCTTTTCTTGACCCTTGGCACGAGTTTAGCCATGCAGAGCATGCATTATTCAGCTGGATGGATATATTTTAAAATACCGTAACAGGACAAAATACTTGCTGCAGGTGCAGAGGAAGATGTATAGTGTGATCTTATAGGTTATGTGACGTGGTGACGTGGCTTCCAAGCGTTGAGCCCGACAGAGTTTACTTGTAAGACTATTTATTATTTTCAATATTAAACATCAATATTGTATTGCAGAGATTCTGCATGCATTGCTTTATCTTGATTTTTTTAAGTTTGATATATTTTAGCCGCTCTTTATATGTCGACTAACGTTAATATATGATGCTATTTAGTGTGGTGTTTGTTGGACTTCCCAGTTCCCATGTATAAAGAGAGCTGCCAGTTTCACTTTTTTTGCAAAGGCCTGTTGCTTTTCCTCTAAAACTAAACCTTTACTGAGGATATTTTGCGAGAACTCTGAAGCTCTTTACGACTTTATCCTGCTAATGGCAACACTTGGTTTTAGATATTATCTAAAGTTAACAGTTTTTTTAAGACATACCCGGCGATTCGTCTCTCACACTCTACAAGATCTCTTGATTTCGTGAGTTTATCTCATATACGTGCTTGAAAGATCAAATGACAAGTATCTGAGTACGGCCCCAAATGCACCAGAATCTCCGATTCCCGTTGTGCTAATAAAATTAAACTTTAAACTGTGATCACAAAATTTCATTCTTTTCCTCCTGACGGAAAAGATGAACTCTTTGTCATCTTTGTTCTTGTCCTAAATTAGCCAAAAGATAGACGGTAAAACTGTCCAAACTGTTAAGTGGCACGCAAGTAATTCAGGAAGCATTTGTGAGAAGCTAATTTGCTTTTAGAGTTCATGCATTGTATGTATCCTAAACGGACTTATCATGCAACTGCAAATGCGTGAATGATATTCGGCATGCATGATTATGCCAGAGTTACATTGTAAAAACTAAATGACAAATTTTAGGAGAAATTCCGATGGCATAAGGCATCGTTTACACTTTCCCGGATTCGCTTGTCACGATATCTTCGTTTGCCTTTAAAAGGCAATGGTTAGAACCACTGAGGCACATCATGTTTATTAGTTTGATAGATTTGGTATATTTATTTCGACCTCTGACAGTAAATTTTTTTAAAGCCTTTTAATAGCTACAAAATTTGACCTACTCCGGAAGCAATCCGGTACAGTGTAAACGGGGCCTTACGTTTATCATGCAATGTAGATTATAAACTTTCTCTCACCGTCTAATATTGTTATCGAGCACAGAATCGGATAGCTTTATCAGGAACCATCACGAAGTTCCTTCGGCCTCGTGTGCGTTAAGTTTGCCGCGCTGTAATTACATATATATATATATATATATATATATATATATATATATATATATATATATATATATATATATATATATATATATATATATAGCTAACCTAGCACCCACTCCCCTTTTTACTCCAATTTCCGCCTTAAGAGGTTTTTGAATTAAAAGTGATATATTTAGTCCTGCATGTTCTGGCATATGTTAAAGTAAATCGCCTTAGAAATCGCTTGGACTGCTAAGGTATTTCAAGACTTTTAAGTTATATAACTTAAGGCGATTTAAGCAAAAAAAATGAATAAAATTTGATAAGGAATGTAATGTATATGTCATTTTGAAGTTTCAAAATGTCCAGCTATTTCAAACAAAATGCATGTATCCACGTTCCTCTCAAATACAATAGTAATATTCAGTTATAGTTTCTAATAGTCAAATACATTTTAAACATGCATGATTATTATATACATTTGCAGTAACTATATAGGGTACTCATTTTCTATAGAACTTCACCGAAAGAGCATAAAGCTCGCGGCGAAAAAGATTTTGGGATCTCAATATTTTTTAAACCACGAACTTATCAATCCTATAGCTTACACGATAAAAAAGGAAAAAAATTAGTATATATTTAAATTATGGTATATCTTACTGACTACTTACTGTATTTCCAACGAGTAATCAATTCTTTGTCCTTCAGCCACCACCTTTGCAAGTACAGATTTTAGAAATACACGACCATTATTCGGTGTAATGTCTTGATATCCACACTATACTTGGCTTTGCCTCGTAAACACGTTCGTGTATATGTCTAGCTACATCTTTAGCCAGACAGTCTGCTGTATCCTGCAGGAAATAATATTGTCTAATCGACCTAATCCGCGTAGAAAATAGTTTAAACAGATGATAATGAATATTTAACGGTATTAAATGTTGTACAACCGACAGCAAACCCAGTCTGGTAAAGCTCAAAGGCTTTTTATGAGAATAAACTGCTGCAATACATAAATACCTATTGATTTATTCGTTCCACGTTAGTTCACAACAAACCATAAATACAATCGACAATTTAAAAAAAGCAAAGTATAAGGCAATTTCCGAATAAACAAGGCATGTTATTGTTAAAAAAAATAATATATGATTCACTAATGATCGCAAACAAGACGAACTTTCACGCTTGTCTACACTGTTATAGCCAGATAGTCTAAACGAATTTCTTGTTTTTGCTAATTCGAGATTTGTTTTTTTACTTTCTCAAATCGTACGGTTTATCAAAAAGAACAAAACTCTATATATGTATATTTGACCGTTATTTATATATACAGGCAGCACTAAAGGCTCTTTATGAACTGTTAGACCTTACTTTATTGATGATAAAATCGAGTACTCAATGCATTTGCAAGAGGTGATATATTTTCGCAGTAAAATTTGAAAGTGTATACCTTGTTATATAAGATGAGGTTGAATTCGCGAAGCACTATGAATTGTCGGCGTCGCTTTTGTCTTTGTGTTGACTGATACAGCGACAAAGGGAATTGCTGCTTCGCACCGAAAACTCCGGCTTAGATGTCGCTATCTGCAAGTTCATCAACTTACACCAAGTGCAACCCGCTTATAAAGACTTTGTCCTAAATCTAGCCAAATAAAACGGTTTCAAACGGACTATTGTGATTCAATGGCCCGCTACAAGATCTTGTGCAGTCATACGGCATTTTTCATGTGCAGTGCATGAGGTGATTGATGAGCTAGCATATATAGCTGTTTTGCTATGGGAAAATTCTTTAATTATACCTGCCGGCAAATAATTTGATCCTTACATAAAGTTCAGATTAGTCTCCTACGCATTTGAGTGTGTTGATGCATCGGATTGAGCTGATAACAACAAGAAGTCCGCCGTGAAATATACTGCGGGCTCATAAAAATTGTTGTGATACCGATATTTCTGGACAAAATTAAACATTGAAAGGTGAACTAACCCCGACACATGTGCAAGTCAGTTTATCTTCGAATACACAAGATCTTGGGAAAAAATACAATTCATCTTCTCAGATTATACTTTACCATAGTTGCTTTATTCTGCTTTAAACGTAGCGGAAGTGACGTCAATTGAATCGTCTAATGTGACGTCATTTCCGCTAAGATTTAGGTTATAATACGACTTCATGTGTACTTTGAAGTTTACCAAATAGGCAGCAGCTCAAGCCCTTTCTCAGTTGGTTATTGCAGCAAAAGGAGACAAAGCTTTGCATCAAAGCTCATTCACTGTTGTATGTATGAATACTTAGTATACATGTAATTTGTTTAAATTTTCAATATACGATTTGATATTTACGTTTCACCTTTTCGTGATATTTAACTGACAAGTATATCTGCATATGAATTTCTCCATGTTAACTTTCCGTGAATAAAGATGGCGGCTGATTTTATTCACCCACAGTGCATTGCGGTCGAAAATTGCTTAGAACAGCAGACAAATGTTTTTACAGAAAAACAAAGACATCAGCAACTTACGTCAGTCAATGGTTCTGTTATTGAGTGCCTTTCTCATCCGGTATTTTTTATTAATGTTCAGTAGCCTCAAGGAATTGTGGATAGATCGATACGCCGCCATATTTACAATAGCGATCGACAATGTTAAGTTCAACAAATGAGACGTGTTTTCAGTGATGTAAATCGTTTTTTGGGTATGAGTTAACGTCTCTTGATAACATCTTTATAGGGGTTGTTTACACTGAGTCCGGTTACCAGATATTCAGCGAACCATAAGATGATTTTGGGGTATTGAAATAAGTATATTATATGATTCTGTCAGTGATGTAACCATTCCGACAATAGCATGCGCTGGTTTTGTTTCATATGGACTTTTTTCAATACCTCAAAATCATCTTACGCTTCGCTGAATCTCGGGTAACCGGGCTCATGTAAACAGCCCCTAAGCCAATGTTTGCTTAATAATTTTCTTTTCTGTACTTAATTCTGCGATTTTGAAACCAGATTTTCACTTGGTTTTCAGTCAAGTTCAGAGAGGCGGCCAAATACTGCCGTTCTGGGCCAACGATATATTGTTGTCGTTCAAATTCTTTCTCGAGTACCTCCAACTGTTGTGGCGTGAAAATTGTCCGCGTCCGTTTTCGCTTGCAATCGCCGTTGGCTTCATCGGCTATAAACAAAATCAAGAATTATAATTTATTACGAGTGCGGTAACAGTGGCTCAGTGCGGCAGTGCGAATTTTCTACAATAGATGTATTAAAACTGAATATCTGCAGGTTGTTAATGGCATGCAAAAGTACAGTTGTACATGTTTTGCAACGAGTATATATATCGCGATGAAATAACTCGAAGAATAACCCACTGTTTTAGTTTTCTTGATATTTCTTCCAAATACTTTAAAACTTAGGGTTTGTCGTTTAAAAATTTAAACTGTGATTGAGACTGTTAAGGAAATGTATTCTTGAAGTGTGTAATAAAACCTATATGTTTGCTGCATTATTTGTCAGATATCATTTGTTGGGTTTTTATTTTCGAGCCGCCCCCCCGTCTCAGCACTGATTATCACAATGAACAAAAGTATAATTAGATTAATCTTTAATTAGATTAATTTCATCTAAGTCTGAATTAATCGAAGGCAGTTAAAATGCTAATTTAGCTGCAAGTTATCAGTTTTTATAAAATTTGTGTGTGATCGTTGAGGATCATTTGGTTTAATTTTGCAAACCTGTTTTCCAGACATATTTTTTGTATTGTATAGTGTGTCTTCTTGGAGTACAAAGGGCTCCCTCCTTTGCCTAATTTACCCCCTCGTGCTCGATGAGAAACAATATGCCCTATAGACAAAGAAGTCTTTTGTCGTTTAACAATTTGATTTGAAAGTGCTTGCATGGAAAGTTCTCTGTTGAAGTTGCGTGCTTTTTTGTGCCATTACTTGACTATGATATGCTGCTATGTCCGTATGCGGAAAAAATACTTGGCAGGTAGAACGAGTTTCAATTTTGAAAAAGGAAACGAAACCATGTTCAGGAGTGATTTAGTTTAACAAAGAGGAAAAAAGAATCGGCAAAGTTTTCTTACAGACAAAATCGCTTCTAAGTAGAGCGATATCGCAGCTCAAACGGTTGCTTGATAACCAACTACCATCACGCATTGCGCGCTTGGAACATTTGCTACATTTGTGCTGTGTTAAATTTTGCTCACGTTTATTAAATTCCGGTTGGAAAGCCCAGCGGGAGGGGCAGGTTTTGTTATAAACTAAATAGCCCTTTAGAAATATTTTTTTATCTATAATTAATAAAAAGTAGTTGAAATCTTATCAATTCCATGCAGTACCGACACGCGTTCATCTTATTCTAAGTACTCGGGGCTTTGCATAATTAATTTGACAGTCTTGCAGGCATGGCCTTATTATGCGAATTAAGTTGCTGACTTTGTCTTGTAGAGATGAGCTACACGAGTGAAAATGTTCAAGTTGCTTCGAGTGAAGCATAACAGTGCTGCATAAACCAACAATAAAAGCATGGATTTCATCATAATATGCATGTACCGTGCAGGTACTCTCATTTGTTCAAAATGGGTCTCCTCGAAGAACTTTGAACTAAACTCTTCGTAACTGTCACAGGGAAACATGCTCGTCTGTCAATACAAGTCTTGATTGATACATGAACA